GCCCCAGCCCCGTCCCAGAGCAGCCTCTCTCTCAGCTGTCCCCAGCCCCAGGAGGGCACAGTGGGCTCTGGTTTCAGGACAGGACTGCCCCTGGGTTGGGTCCCACCGTGGAGGACTCTGGAGACAGCCACGAGCAGGGAAATGTGTGGGAACAGCCTCCCCCCTGCCCACATTCCTGAGTGGGACCTCAGCTCCACTCAGCCACTGTGGGGTCAGAGCTGAGCTCGTTCCCAGCTGCAGCAGTCACAAAGCTCCTTCTGGGGTTCAGAGTGTTCCTCCCTCCCCAGTGGTCCCACAGCAGCACATTTCCCCGTGCAGGATGTGTGGCACGGTGCAAACACCAGCTCAGCTGGGATGGGGTGAGCACAGCAGTGTTTGCAGCCTGCAGTGCTGCTCAGCAGCCTGAGGAAGGCCATGGGGTCCCTCAGGTGTGCCAGGGATGGGCAGYAGAGCTGGAAAAGGAAGGTCTGGAAGTCAAAGGAAGCAAAAAAAAGCTTCTCCCTTCCAGCTGACAGTGCTGCACTGAGCAGAGAGCCGCGATCTCTCCCGGCACCACCCAGACCTCAGCACCTTCCTTAAGAAGGGCAGTGACAAAGGTCCACCCAGCGTGGTGGAAAACCACATGGAGGAATGATCTTCTGCTCCAGCTGGGTTCTGGTGATGTCCTGAGCTCTGAGAGCTGCTGACCCAGCAGTGACCCACAGCCTTGTCCCCAGCCTGCTGYCAATGTGCCACTGCAGCTCCCGGCCACAGAACAGAGCCCAGAGAGCTGGCAAGGGGGGCCAGGGAACACTGTCCCATGGCCAACAGCCACAGGRTCTTGGGGATCCAGACTGCCACCCCTTTCTCAAGTGCCAGTGGGAAAATTGAATTTTCTGTGACTTTATTGCCTTTCTATTGAAAATGAATGATAAAAATATCTCAGAGTGAGGAAGGGCTGCTCTGGTCTGCTCAGATCTGTTATCCTGCCCCAGTCCCAAGCCACTGGCAAAGCCTGGGGGTTGTTCTGTGCTCTGGCACGAGTCAGGAGTGGGCCAGAGAGATTGTCCAGCAGCTCTGAGGATCAGTAGATGTTCAAGTTCAGACTCTCTAAAGATGATCARTATAAAAAGCCTGAGCTGTTTGAGCTGTGGAGGAACCTGAGAGCCCAGCCCTGAGCTCAGACAGTTCCACCCCATGTGGGGCACAGCTGGCACAGAGAATTAACAGCAGTGCTCCTAAAGAGGGCTTCACCTCGGGCACGTGTAACTCAGGTAGGACAGCCACTGCTCACAATTCACAATAAACAGCATTTAGYCAAGGCCCATATAAACCAAAGCACATCCATCCTAATTGCCTAATTACTGTGATTTACCAAATTCCAGACACTTAAAAGTCTTCATTCCGTCTTTCCTTCTCTGAACGTTTCAGCATTTCTGACTCCATGATCAGAASCCCTCAGAAACTTCCAAGAGAAATTTTCCTGTGAATGCCATTTCCCAGGCAGCTCCCAGGCACGGTGGTTTTGGCTGGATTCCTCCTGGATCCCGTTTGGGAGCCCAGCTGGAAATTTGCAGCTGCTGGAGCTGCWCCACACGCTCCCCGTGGGAGGAAGGCTCATGCCAGCCCAGGAAGATGCTGTGCCCGGACACTCACACCCAGAACGAGCTCCCTTCCCACTTCTCCTCCAGCTATGGGAGCCCTCAGGGAACTTTGCCACCCCAGGGGTCACTGCATGTCCTTCTCATTCGGTTTCATCTGGCAAACAGGTTCCAAAATTGACAGGGAAAGAGCTGCCTCCACACGTCTCATTGCCTCGGGAGTCCCTGCAGGACTTGTTATAAGCTGAATTTTGAAATCACTGAAATGAGCCATTCCTGTTTACTTGAGCCATTTTCTCCCAGATTTCTCAGTCCATGAATATGTGCTCATTTTCAAGTTTTGCCTAATTTGAAATGAGAAACCTCTTCCTTGTCTGCAGGTCCTTTGCAGAATGGGAAAACAGCTCACGCTGAGGGCTGTGTTGACAATGCGTATTTATAAGATAATGCTACCGGGGCTGGATTCTTTCTGCTCTGCATAAYTCACAGCCATTTGTTACAGAAAAAGTGCAAAAAGGAGCAGGTGAAGTGTGCCACGGTCACAGTTGATGGAGTTAATCCAGCTCTGTGAGCCCGGAGCTGATGGGCTGCGTGTGGAGCCGAGGGGAGCTGGAGGCACAGGAGCTCTGCAGACAACAGGAGGAGTTCAGGGCCTGTTTCTGCAGCCCCATTTCACCTTCAAAAAGCATCTCAACTCCTCGAGGGCCATGAKTCCCTCGCCATTCACCTGAACTTGATGCAGGGAGGGCAGGAGAACYGGTGGGGTTGTGTCCCCAAGTAGGGAGCAGAGCAGCCCCAATCTGACCCTCCTGCCCAGAGACACGGGACAGCACCTGCTGCTGCTCCAGCTTGGCACTGGGRCAGTCTTCTTTTCCTCCCCTTTCCTTCTCCCTYTGCTCCCTGTGCTCCTGGTTGGTCCATGCAGGGGTCCCTCCCTGGGCTGGCCAAGGCTGGCACTGCCTCCACACTGCGGGGTCAGGCAGGACACCCTCAGGATGGGTGTCTCCACTAAATGGAAGGGTTGACTTCTATCCTGGTCAGGCTTTTAGAGATCAGACACAAGGCAGGAATGCTGGAATTGTCCATGAACCAGGAAAGAGGCAAACACAGCAGTCTGATGGAGGCATGAAAAGCAGAGCAGAAACCCTCCCTGCAGTGTCACAGAGCAGCCAGCGCCCCATGGATGCTGGAAACTGCTCCAGAACATTCKCTGGGGGGCAGCTCCTTCAGCACTGGATGGATTTTAGGCCTTTTCTGCGAGGCTCTGAGGCATTTCAAGGGGGACCAGGAGGTGTTTGGGTCTGGTGTCAGCGTCCACCTCAGCACACGGCTGTCCATGGGGTGAGATGGGAGCGGGTTTGTCACCTCCAGCCTCCCTGCCTGTGTGTGTCACAGGTGCCACCCCCTGTGTGTGTGTGTGTGTGTGTGTGTCACAAACGTGCCCTGAGCTGCTGTCCTGACCCAGCTGTGCCCGCTGGTTGCTCTCTCTCTCTCCAGTCTGGCGTGGGGCTCCTTCACCTGCTGCATGGCTGCCTCCGTCACCACCCTCAACTCCTACACCAAGACTGTCATYGAGTTCAGGCACAAGCGCAAAGTCTTCGAGCAGGGCTTCCGAGAAGAGCAGAACTTCCTGGACCAGGAGGCCATCAAATACTTCAGAGAAAGGTCAGTGCACTCAGTCACTCCAGCAGGGGAGCTTTCTGTGGATTCTGCTGSTTTCAGGAAATCCTGGCTCTCACCCACTTCAGCACATGGGGGTGAAGTCACCTGTGTGTGAAAGACAAACACTAAAGGACCTCCTTGGTTTGGGATTTTTTCCTTTCTCAGTGCTCACCCTTTTTCCTGTACTTTCTAACAGTCCTTACAACATGCACTCAGTTCACAAAAAGCTCTGCTGCCAATCTAAGCTGATTTCCCCTCTCTGGAAAGGTAAAACCGTGGGGGTGTGACAACTGTGACATCCATCCTYTCCCAGCACGTGTGACAGTAACTCCTCCAGTAATCCCAGTAACGCCTCGACAGCACCTCCCAGTAATCCCAACAGCTGCTGAGGCATTTTCCAGACACCACCAGGACACTTTGGAGTTGTCATCTCCCATGGCCACGTGCCTACGATGGATGTGGCTCCTTGGCACGACCCATCCTCTGGAGTGAAGCCACCTCAGTACAGCACCCACATGGTGCCACCCCCACTGTCACCAGGGCTGAGCTGGGCCTGAGTCCTGCTGGGTCCCAGAGATCCCTGTCACTCTGTGGCTGCYCCAGGACCCTGCTGCCCTCATTCTTTGGGAGGGAATTTTAAGCTTTGTTTAAAGCTTAGTGGGTTGGGAAGGACTCACAAATCCTGGGCTCACACAGCAGGGATGGCTCCACAGGGTGATKCACCTGCACAGGATGAAGAGCTGAGAAGTACAGAAAATCCTCACCAAAATCTGTTGCCTGAAGTGATGTCAAGGTATTTTGGGGGCAGAAAACACAAGCAGGATGTGTTGCTGTTTGTCAGAGCAGTGGGGCAGTTTCTCTGTGGTGGGAGARAGTGCCTGGGAAGCTCTGAGGGCACAGAAGGTTTGGAATGATCAGCATTTCAGCAGCAGAGCGAGGAGCTCTCCTGAGACAGAACTCAAGAGTTTCCATGACTATTATTTTTCCTTGGTTATCCCATTGTTTGTTATTCTGTTGTCACMGTTATCCCCCTGCTCACGTCCGGGTTTTCACTCCACCTTTCAGACAGTCTGTAAGGAAGAAAGAAATTACAAACCACRATTTTCCTACTTTTGCATTTGGACATGACAGTGAATTCTAAAAAATTCTCTGTGGGAAAAAAAGGAAGCCCAGACACGGTGAAGGGGAAGGGGTCGGTGTGTGCCTCGGGGTAAAGCAGCACTCAGGGAGGGAAAGCAGACGAGTTATTGAAGTGAGAATTGCAGATAGGAGCCCAGCAGAATTATAAGGAGCAGCATCTTGAGTGAGATGGGGAAAAAAAGCAAAGCAAACCTGTTAAAGTATCACTGCTGCCCTTTCTGGAACAGTAAATACAAAATACACCAATGGCCCAGGGGACAGTGACCCCTTCCTCTCCCGTGGGTGTTGTGGGTTTGATTTGGGCTCCTCTTGCCCTCACCACATGACACAATTCCACCCCCAGCCATTCCCTCCTCGGTCACCTCCTCCCAGCCCTTCCACACGCACTTGGCACACGCAGCTCAAGCATGTGGTGTTCCCAAACTTCATGATTATGTCTTTCTTTTTTTATATCACATTATTTTAATTGTTGTATCTGAATGCATAATAGGAAGCCCAGAGACAGTGTTACCATGGGATCATCCTGGAGATTTAAAGCTCTGCAGCAATATAACAAATTATTTTTATTTTTAAAGTTATCCTATTCATGCTCAGCTTCCCTGCAGTGCCCTGGGAGTGCTCTGGGTGCAGGGGGTGCAGGGCCTGGCCATCAGCAGCTCCCTGTTGCTGTGGGTGCCCTCAGTCCCACACAACTTCCCCGAGCTCCCATCTGCCTTTGCACAAATAGAAAATAAAATAAATCCTCTTTCCTTCCTGTGCACATACCCAGGGACACTTCACATTCCCTCCTACTCCTCCACCTCCATGTTCCTTTTCATACCTCATGAATAAAACCCTCCAGCCTTCCTTCCCTCCAGTCACTTTGCACATTTCTTTACCCTTTTTGCCCATTCTCTTACTCTTTGTGCCCATTCCTTTACCCTTTGTGCCCATTCCTTTACCTCATGCACACTCAGCACCCCCTGGGCACACACACCCAACCCCTCAGCTGGACACCCTGTGCACCAGGCACTCTTCTCTATATTACTGGAAATTAAAGCTTTATCATTATTCCCAACAGCCCCATTTATGGATTTATTATCCATTATCTCGGGGAAGGGAAGTGCCAGCCCCATTTTGCACGATAAAAGTTTTGTGTTGGGATATTCTTCTCCAGGCCCCTGTTCCCAGGGAGGAAATCTGCTTTATGGGAAGTGCTGACAGCAAAATGCTGCTCATCTTGCACGTGTTTGCTCAAATATATCGTTGTATTGCACTTTAATTTTAATTGCATGTAAGAACATGTACAGCAGCAGAAGATTGGCTGGAAATGGAGATGTGAGAGCTGAAATGWTCTCCTGAGAGCTCCCAGGAGCAAATCCAGCTCCTCTCCCTCCTTGCACCCCAAGGCTCTGTCTCTCACCAGCCAAGCATCTCASTGCTCCTGACACTGGGAAAACATTCAAGCAGATGCTGAAAAATCAAAGATTCATGGTGTTATATACAATTATTTCCTTTCCAGGCCTGAGATACTTTGGAAAGTCCAGACAAAACAGGTTCTGTAGTTCACACCAAAAAATCAAAAGATATTCAAGCTCTTTCAGATAAAACAAGTACAAGAGCCCTCAGGGCAACTCTAAGAAGAACAGGTCAATTATACAGACTTGGAGGTATTATTCATGCTTTAAGTGTTCTCTAAAACTGTCAGAATTATCTGCAAAGTCAGCTTTCAGTCTTTGTCCTTTAAGTGTTTTTCCTTCCTTTATTCTCATTTTCCTTTGAACTGAATATTTGTCTGCAACTTTTGCTCATCCCTTTCAGTTTTTTACTTAATTTGCTGTCAGTTCATAACGAGCATCTCTCTTCCATCCCTCCCTGTTTCTCTTTCTGCCCAGTTTCACATGAATAGCGTGAGCACAGTCCCTTGTCCCTGTGGAGGAGGAATCCTCACTGCCCTTCTGCTTCCTTCCTTCCTTCCTTCCTTCCTTCCTTCCTTCCTTCCTTCCTTCCTTCCTTCCTTCCTTCCTTCCTTCCTTCCTTCCTTCCTTCCTTCCTT